ACTCTTCGTCTTAAGGTCCTCGACAAAATGCAGAGACGGATATGCAATGTGGTTGGCCCTGTTCTGACATCTTTTTTACAGTCTCTCTCTCACAGACGTGCCGTCGCCTCCCTTTGTCTTTCCTACATACTTTCACGGTAACTGCCTCGACGAGATTCTTTCGCTAGTTCCCAAACTGCATGAGTTTAAACGTTCTACTAGGTTTGCATCCCAGTCACACCTTTCACTGTCGAAAAGGTTAAATGTAACCGTCTTTTGTACTCCAATAGCTTCATGTCTCGCATTTGCTTTATATGGAACTCCATTCCTCTTACTTGCTTCCTGATAGCTATAATCTCCAAATATTCAAATGCAATGTCACTCGACATCTCCAGATGCCTTGATCTATTTCCCGTCCTTCACATCATCCTTTTCTCTATGAAGCCTCTTTACTTTTGCTGCCATTCTCTTTAATCCCCTGCGTGCAAGTGGCACTCCCGCCTTGCTTATGGTAAAAATCTTAAAAAATGGTTTTAACAGATATCAGAAAATGTTACATCCGATGACGCACTGGGATGGGGAAAGAAGCCCACCAATGTATTAAGAAACATGCAAATTTCCTTAGAATTTAATAAAGAATACTTAACTGTTACGTAATAACATTTACCTGTATGTTAGTTAATGGAGATCACAGTGGAAGAACAGATTTAGGCAACAAAAATGTATTTCTACAGTAGGATGGTGAGCATAGCCTGGTTTGAACATGAATATAAACGACGGAGTTTTTCGAAAATAAAAAGGCCAATTGTACTCAGCATCAAAAATACAGTTAAAATTTCTATGGCACATAATGAGGAAAGAAAGCTTAGAAAATTTGACACTCACAGGACATAATGAAAGAGACAGTGCGATATGCCTAGTTCCCTAAATAAGAAACTTGTGTAAATGGTTAGCAGGAGTGAGAGAGTGACACATATAGTTAAAAAGACGAATATTGATAAGAGCTACGAAGGATAGGCAGTTGTGAAGAGCCATGATCGCATGGGTCCGGAAGGCAAATGACACATAGAAGAAGACCAAATATACTATAGTGAAGAATAAATCAAGGAAAATCAGAGATAAAAACAAAACAAAAAAGGGATAAAAATATTTACATTCATCCATATTCCATTGGTTTCTGAATTGGGTAAAGTAAATCCTCATTTACAAAAGTAATTCAATGGTACAAGTTTATAACGACTGCTGATTCCGAGATTAAGTTCTTGAATATTATTACGTTGTGTATATCGATTTTATTAATTAAGCCGAGAACTAAAATGCATGAATTTCCACTGTAGCTCCAATAAGCTTTCAAAACAACAGACGATGGACATGCCTCTGTTAAATGTTTTATCATGGCACAGAAAATATGACACTCACATCTGAAGACGCATTGAAATAGCGAATAGTAACTTCGAAAAGATAGTAAAGGTATTAAGAAATATAAAAAAAAAACATCCTTAAAATCCTTGTAAGGAGTGCTGACAGTGATTACTGGACAGTCTCCTAGCAGAGTCTTTAAGGAGTAGAAATCTAGTTTTACAGAAGGACAAACATGTCAGTAAGGTAAATGGAAATAAAAATGAAGCTTACTTAGAATCAGAAAACCACATTTGAAATTTCTAAGAAAAATAATCTGAAAAGAATGCATGGCGAATTTGAAGCAGACATCCACAAGAGACAAAGGAAAAGAGCGTAAACTACATAAGGAGCTCTGTAAAGGGTTGCCAGAACAATGTCTGGGAGAGATGATGGAAAAACTAACCTTACTATAAAGTATAAAGATTAGGATATTCTACAGATCCATGATTGTTTACTCCCTGAAAGAAGGATAAGTGGTTACGCATATATGCACAACTTGAGGATCAGTTGTTATCATGGAGAGCAAAATCGACGAAGCGATTAAAAATTCTGGTTTAGCTCTCATCTTTTCCAATTAGCAATTAACTCTTAGAAAAGTCATGGATCTATGATATCTTCCACAACTATGAGTAAAATAAAAGGGTAGACTGTGCTCTCAAAACTTAGGTGGCATCCTGTCAAAGAAAAAAAAAACTCAGAAAAAAATTATCGTGCAGAAAGTAACGAGAAGCCATTCCACTATATTGTCCAAGGAGATGGCAATTCCCACGTAATAAAATAAAGAAATCAGTGGAGAGACTTGATCGACTACGTCTAAAAGAGACGTGTTAATATAAAAAAAATAACTATACTAAATGATTTAGTTGAGAAAATATAATTATATAAACGCATTACTAGATTGGCGGTAAGGTATCATTTTATAGTTGAAATGGGTAGATGTAACGATAATTTCTATGATAACAGATTCATTACTCTTATGGAACTCTCTTCCGACTCCTTGCTTCCACGTCAGGTTTTATTTTCAAAAATTTAAATTCAATGTTAACCGTTATCTACTTTATTCTTAATTACTTTTTTTTTTAATTATCCCTGTCATTAATAGTGTTTTTCCTCATATTTAGTACCAGTCAGTAACTTGTTGAGTTTTAGTGGCATTATTGCCTTGCTTGGGGTGGAACGATTAAATACAAGAAACAAATAGATTCAATTTAAGAAAGATGTTTATATGTATAACAAATAGAGACGGTTTTCTTTGGTTTATTAGGTTGTTCGGAAAATAATGTCAGATTTTAAAATCTGCATTTATTCCGAAATTAATGTATTTTAAATCAGACAAAATAGAAGCCCTGACAATACATTTCTGTTTTCAAGTTACTTTTCGGTTTGGACACCGCCAAATCTTCCAATAGTGCTTCTACATCTTCTACGGAATAGCTTTTGGCATAATAAATTTACAAGCCACTTGAAAAAAAAATGGTATTCAGTGGGAGATTGATCAACAGAATACCGTGGATGTGGGAAAGTTTTGTATCCCAAGTCGGGGAGATTTTTGAAGTATTGTTATGAATCAGTATTGAACATCGTTCATTAACCTGTCTCAGGTTTGCATTTCCTCCAGTTTCTGTCAGTAAACTTAGGCGGTGACGGTCTGGTTAGTTCGCAGAAAAGTTGTAACAGATGACGACAATGATCGAACAAGAAACAGTCGCCATATTCTTCCGTTAGTGTAATATCGGTTTTTAAAAATATTTCGCGCCTTCATCATGATCAAGCCATTGAGCCAGTCTTTTAGAGTAGTCATATAGCATCCATTACTGATAACAAATCTCTATCCGATCAAGAAATAGACCATTGGAATTACGCTGATATAGCACAGTTCAAAAGGTTGAAGTCTGATTTTCACTGAGTTCACGTGGAATCCATTTTTCGAGTTTCTCCCCTTTGACTATAATCCTAAGATGGTTAGATACTGTTGAAATGCTGACACATTATAAAGCATTTCTTTGGGATTTTCACGCTGTTTATATTCTATGTATATACTATTATATAGAGTTTCAGATATGGATTTACAATTGCAGTTGGACGTCGTCAACCACCTTCATCTTCAACACTCCTATCTCTCCTGAGAAACCTCATGAACAAGTGCCATACTGTCCGATCAAAATGTGTCCTTCATTCTATAGTCTGTTAATGTTGGATGTAGTTTAAAGTAGTATTAAAGAAGTATTAAGAGATTTAATATAAAATTAACAGAAGAATGATTAATATATATTGGAAACTATTATAATTTATTAGGATACAATTAAAAGTTTTATTCTAAAATCGGATATTATTTTCTGAACAACCTAATATTAATAGCTGTGTATATCTGAGATGAGCTATTTTAACTATTTACACTATTTATATCGTTCGGACTGTTCTCCTTATCTGTATTTCCATAATAATAATGTTTCGGCCTTTGTACGCATCAACGTTGAAATTTACAATCGAACCCTTTATTTAATCTACGGTTCTATTTACAATATAATAATTGTAATTCCAATATAAAATATTCTAATAACATTTTTGTTATCTCCTATTTTAAAGTGTCATGCATTGTATTCTTCATAATTACGAGCTTATATTTGGAAATGGAACTCTGCTACTTTTCAGTAAGGCTCTGACGATCTAACTGGACGCCCTTTGATGGTATATAAGTATGTCTTCGATTAATGTTCGAAGCGGTACAGCAAAATATATGTCTCCACTGTAACTTCTGGAGAGTACTATGTACATTAACCTGACATATAGGTTTCTTCACCTTCTTCTTTGATTTGACATCGCTAATGCATAGCTCATATATTGGACTGTCGCATTTGTTGAAAACCAAAACCTTTCAATTTTACTTTTTGTTTGCAATCGTCACGTTAATTTTTTGTAAGAGACCTAATTAACAGCAGATGGGTTTTCAGGCAATAACTTCATTCGTTTTCTGTTTACGTCATAGCAAAAATGTTAACTGCATGAAAAATAAAATTGGGTGAAAAAGATCAAATTCAGCCGGAAGATATATATCCTTTTTTGCTCAACTGATTTTTTAAAAATTGATCTAAATCGCCTTGTGTACTCTTCTCTGCGCTCAGATTCGTTAACAATCATTGGTATGTCAATTGTTTCTGTGAGTGTTTTGTGAAATAAATTTCAATAATTAAAAAGAAAACGGTAACAGCGTAAACCTCTTAGCACCATAACGAACAGCACAAACCAAATGCTATTTTTTCTCATTTCAAAAGTCTGTTCTCCTCGAAACTAACCTTAGATTCGTATTTATCATATATTTTTCTTCGTTAATAATTTTCTATTCACGACTACCTTCGTTTAGGCATTTTTTTATTGCTCTTTCTTCGTGCTTCTCTCAGGTTATTTCAATCAGTATTTTCTTTAACCTTTCTCATTTTTCGGCATGCCCTCAATTTGTTTTCATTGAGTCCAATTTCCAGTTTTATCCTCTTGGTCTTTAATGGCAGCGATTACTTTACCGAATGTTCCTCTTTCTTTATTTTAGAATTTTGCATTGAGAGCGAACGACTCAAATAAATGCCAATCGCAGTTTTCGGCAAAATGGAAGCTTTAAATTGGCGATGATCAATTCGAAAATCTGCTGTCCAGGTGAAAATGGCCTTCCACTCAACATGACTCTTTTCATCGTCACTTCGGCCATTATCGACGTTTCCTCCCTTAAACTGTTTCCATTAACTCCGGTGGATCTCTCAGGATAAAAAACATTTTATTTGAAATCGATGTCATCCATAGAGCAACCCAACTTTCAATGCATCTTGCTCGTCAAAATCTTCCGGTAAACGTTGGCTTAACTAAATTTGCTGTATGCATTGCTAAAGGACATATATATTTCAAAATTCATTCTCTCTGACGCTCGAACACATACACCATCTATCTATCTATCTATCTATCTATCTATCTATCTATCTATCTATCTATCTATCTATCTATCTATCTATCCTCAGATTGGGTCATTGCAGTGTTGTGTAGTAATATGAATCTATTTTCGGGGTGCATGTCGAAATATGATTGGCCATGAAAAATTTTGCGTCATCCATGATTGCATCAGATTTTTATCACGACGAGATATTATTGTCTCGATTCTCGATTAGTTGTCCTACGGCAATTTTCTGCGGTGGACATTACTCCAAGGAATGTGGTAATAGTAATGGTAATATTAGATGAGCCCATTTGAGGAAATATTTGGCGTTCATTGACCGAGTAGACAGTACAGCTACAGGTTGAATTTTATAAAATCTTCCTTTTTCAACGAAATAATATTCTCATGTCCAGTAGCTGTGTACTCAATTTACAATTCGGGGGGGGGGGTTTCTATCCTAACCTTTTGTAATGTGGAATATCAACATCTTGATTATGTCATTAATTTTTTTTTAGAGTTCCATGTGGTAGCCATTTTAGCAAGTGAGAGACTCTGTTTTTAAGTATCGAACTATTTTGATCAATGCAATTTCCCTCTCATTTTCTGCATGATATTCAAAATGACCTGACCGTTATTTGACGTTACGGTTTGTATATACAGAATGTACCAGGTATTTCACAACTCATATTTACCTGGCAGTAATTTTACTAAACATATACAACTGCATACTTGTCAACATTCTCAATTCAGAAAAAAAACAAACTCTTTGGACATAGCTGTATAAATTTCACGAAAAGAATGCACATAAACTAAAATTTTTTGGCGCTGTCTATATTAAAATATTGAAACCAAAACTTGATGAAATGAATTACGATTACACCACAAAAATTTTTAATGTGTATAAATGCCAAAGTTTACAACAATAGTTTCTGTTCTACTACATATTTCGTAAATAAATCTCTCTAAACCATACATAGTTACCTCCATTTAAACGGTTTCAACGATCACGCACTGACACAGTGTTTCTCACTCCATCAACAAATGCATTGTTCATGCATTGACGTAGTGTCTTCACTTCATTTGTAAGAAATTTAATTTTCAAGAAAACAGCAATTTTTCTCTCACAATTATGGATAATATAATATTATAAACAATAATACCCTGATAATGATATGGATATGTCCCAAAAGTACGTGGTAATAAAAGAAATATATATATATATATATATATATATATATATATATATATATATATATATATATATATATATATATATATAAATTAACAATAAAAAAAAATATATATATATATATAAATTTAACAATAAAAAATAAACAAAGAAGCTACTCCCGCTAAAATAACTGCCAGAATGAAATACCCACAATGCACCACTGATCCATATAAATAGTCGAGAGCAAAAACCCAACACTCGCGGCCTGACATTAGCGTCTAGCATGAAACAGCCTGTCACCTCTGAGTGTTGAATTCAATGTTCACTTTTATATTTGAATACGCTCTATCTCTGATGTTGAGCACTTTATCCCATAAATATAGCACACCTTAAAACTTAATTTCTACATATATATATATATATATATATATATATATATATATATATGTTTGTCTGACGATCGCTAAACCGTGAAACCCAGGGTCACAAACTCACATCTCTCCAACCAAATATGTTAGTTCTATCTCTGATATTGAGCGCTTTCTAATAAGTACCGCGCATATAATATATCAATAATTATATATATATATATATATATATATATTTATTTATATTTATATACACACACTTTTCACACACACACACACACACACACACACACACACACACACACACACACACATATATATATATATATATATATATATATATAGGTTCACTTGATAATTACGAGGGATAATTCCAAGGAGGATATAAATCCAAAGAAAGCTCAGTGCAAAAACAGAACAAATATAACAATAAAATGTTTTGTCTGAAGAGATGGACGCCTGATTGATCTCATGAAAGAAATTACCTCCTAAGTGGCAACATCATTATGCGCATATGAACAAAGAAATATTTATGTAAACTTTAATTAGCTGATGATGCTAAAGTCAAATTAAGAGAGATTGGTCCTTTAATATCGTCATGCCCACCTGGTGAATTTCATTTCACGCATTAGTATGAAAAAGAGATTTAATTTTCCCAGAATTAAACTGGGTAGGTCTTTGGTACGAGACCGATAGGTCGAAATACTTTAAAAACTGCGGATCCCTTAGAATTTAACACACAAACAATGATTAAGATAATATAGTAAGTGTTAATTCCGTGGGAAGAAATCTCTTGTTGCTGCAAAGTTGGGAAGAGTAGTGCATTAAAAAAATAAAACAATATGTTACACTATTTAGGGTTGTTAGAAAGAAAGAAGAAAAAAAGTAAAGGGCGAGAATTAAATTTAGGTGATAAGAAGCAATCACGAACAGGGCACTAAGCGATGTTATTTAAGGAAAGTAAGACACTGGATTTATGACGACGCACCGAGTGGACGATAGCCGCCTACCTTGACAAGGATAATGAAAATTTCAGGTTGGTCAAGTGGCCTACGAAACAGAAACTGGGAGATAATGATAATTAGGTCATGCTACCACCCCCATATCATTTGGAAAAAGACACCTGTTTTATGTCGAAGCTGGCCACGATAGGAAAATTATTTTATCAGAACGAATAATTGCCTGGAACGTGGATATCGTCGGATGACCACCCACTTGTTTGGCGAAGGTCCCGAGTGATGAATCCCAGGTGACATTCAGGATAAAATTCAGATTAAGAGACCACACTACGGGTCGTATTGGGTTGTTGTCGGGCAGAAGAAAGGAAAAAAAAGAAAGAAAGAAAAGAAAGCAAAAAAAAAGAAGAATTTTTTTTTTCTTTGAGCAAGATATTTTTTAAAACCCGGGCTAGTCAGGCCACACCCACACAGCTGTGCGGCCATTGGATGAATGGTGGCGTGAGCGGCAGGCGAAGGTAATCATGTGAAGAAGGAGGAGAGGCCTGTTAATGCCCTCCTGAAGGGATCGGTGTGAGATGCCACTGTGAGAGAGAGAGGGAAACCCGTTGACACCCTCTGAGGGTATGGGTGAGATACCAAAATGAGAAAGGAAGAATTGGGGAGGACGAAAGACTTCCAAAAATGGAAATAATAATTCTTCCTGACCGAAAACAAAAAAAAACTTTTAATACGGATTTAGAATTATGAAGGATCCTCAAAACCCGACAGGCCCACCCCGGTTCTGGTAGGCGTCCGTATAGGCAGTTCGCAGCTGAGTTGAGTTGGCAGTTCGCAGTTCGCAGCTGGGGTTAGACAGACAGGCAATCAGTTGCAGTGAGCTGACAGCTCGCAGACGCCTCGCAGAAAGCTGACTTAAGATTCGCGCATTCTCGACCTCAACTTCTAACGAAGAACAATTTATTTTTGAAGAACGACTTAGACTCACAACACCAAAACAAGTTTTACGAATATCGCCTGAAGATACACCAAGAACCAGTTTCTTAAAGAACAAACAACTTAAGATATTAAGACTCGCCTAACAAACACAAAGTGTCACGAATCCATATAGCGGTTTGGGAGAAAAGACGCAGTCCTGTATTCAGCAACCAGATATAAAATATTGTTATCCTTTTTTAAAACATTTGAACTTTTCGAGTTATTACTTTATTTTCTTTTACATATACTTGTGTGATATTACCCTTGTTCGGACTCGACTTGCATTACGGCCCGGCGACTGATTGATTTCGTCTACCTAAGATCAAATCACAACGTGGGTAGGTTAGACTAGAAATCAAAACAGTTACTTCGGTAACCAGACGTTGGAGGCGAGCTGGGAACGACAAGGCTGATACCCAGATCTAACCAGATTCCCACCCGAATCAGTAAAAGTTTAGAACGTCACATTTGGTGCCAATACCAAGTCACATTGGTCCTCACAGGACAGGATAGGACGCCGACGGCCCGGAGACAGACGAGGTGACGTCACAATTAGCGCCGCGACCAGGACGTCACATTTGGCACAGCGACACCGGGGGACGTCACAATATCTCAATGACCACTTATTTTAAATGAGGTCTAAAAAACATTTCTGAAGGCAGACTCATGTCGAAACAGATTTGTTAGGGCAGTTGAAGAACATACAGTCAGAAAAGATCAATGCACAAAAGTTAGAGTTTGGTAAGGATCCCGAAACAAAAAACAGATAACTATCAAATCCATAACACCCACTATCCAAAACAACTTATCCCATCTAAACAGCATCCAAATAGTCACATTCACTTCCAAAGCCATTATGGATATGATAAGAAAGCAAAACACCTATAACAATAATAATTTAGAAGCAGGCATATCTCACTATATAAAACAAAGAATGTTTGTGTGTCTGTCTCTGTGATACCTTTTCACTTGAGTTCCATCCAACCGATTTTGACCAAACGTGGCAAATACCGGTTACAATTGACACGTTTTAAAAAAATCAATAATCTATAAAGGCGATCAAAAATTGATAAATTATACATATTTCCTCCGGTTTCGTTCAAACGCTCTCTCTCTCTCTGTAGAGGCAACCGGACGTCTAGCCACACTGATGAGCTGTGATACAGCGAAACAGTCTGATCTGTATGTGGATGACAATATATATGCTCCTGAAACATTTGTTTCGGTTGAGTTCTCTGGGGAGGAAGTGTGGGTTTGTAAACAGTGACTATCACGGCTAATAGTGCAAAACTCTTCGGCAAATCGAATTTATTTTCTCAGCCACTGTGTGTTTATCTAAAAATGAATTAATATTTTTGAATTTCAATGATGCCGTGCGCCAACGGCTTAGTATTAATAATTCAGTTGACTTTTCGATCTTAGATAAAAGCAAACGGATTGATATTACACCAAGCTTATGTTACAGCGAAACAGTCTGTCTGTGGATGACTATCTCTCTCTCTCTCACTGGTCCTCTCTCTCTCTCTCTCTATATATATATATATATATATATATATTATTTTTCTAATATTTACTGTGCCCTTATCTCTCTTTCTTACAGTATTTTTTAGTCTTTACCCGTATATTGTGTAGTCTC